TCTCCTAAGTGGGTAAGTAACTTTCCCACCTATGAGAAACTTTTGTAAAACATAATGGGACCATTTTGCCTATTTTAATACTAACTTTTTGTGGGTAAAAATGTAATTATGTTACTTACCTAGGAATCCTAGAAACCAAAAGAACATTGGTAAGGAATATACCTAGGTAAATGTTTAGGTCATGGTTTTTAAAACCGACCTGGTGACCGAACTGGTCAGGGGTCTGATTACTAGGTCGAACGGTCTGATTGTTCAAATCGAACGCTCAGCCCGTTCTGACAAGAAAATAAAAAAATGATCAAAACCATTCGAACGATTAACCACTCAATTCAGTGGTTCACTGACCAAAATCATCTGTTTTGGGGAGAATCCGGTTTTTGGGGAAAACGGAATGGTCACCTAACCGGTTCCCAGTTTTTTCGGTCCGGTCTGATTTTGAAAACCATAATTTGGATAACACTTACCTGGGTAAGTGCACTTATCCAAGTAACTTGTAAAGTTGTAAACGAATAAGGACTAAGTGGAAAATTCATCGATGTAAAACTCAATAGATGGATTTAAAATTTTAATGGAATGTTTGAGCTTTTTTGATGTGATAATCGATTATTGATGGAAAAGTCAACTGACGGGAAGGTTTTACATCGATTTTCCATATAAACTTTACATTGAAAACAAACCTATGAAAATATGAACCAAGAATGAAGTTTAATGCCGATTTGCATTTACACCGATAGCAAACGCAGCCTAAAAGTATTGTGTGATGAATCACATGATTAAGTTCTTCTCTGATTTATTTGAAATCGCATATGTGAACCCGTTCACCGAAGTGTGTACCTACAAATGAAAAATAAAGACATGGACTTAATGGGATTTATTTGTTAACGATGGTCCAACCACTTGAATTGTCCGCTACATGAGAAAAAACAATAAAATCCAAACATTTGGGCCTCCTCTCATTAGAACTTCCCTCCCACCATCTCTCAGCATGTTGTAACTTCTTTCTTTTCTTGTAGAGATTTCCGCTGATCAGGTTGATTTCCTGAGTCCATCCAAGAATATCCACTATTGCTACAAAGGTGGGTCCTAGCGGTGCAAGCAGCGCTAAGCAATGATACAAGAGAGAGAGAGACAAAATTCAGCGGGATTGCGAGTGTTTGTAAGTATCTAAGCAAAAGGCAGTCGGCATCTTTTGCAATGGTAGCGGTGCAATTAGTGGCTTTTGATGCAAGGAGATGTGATGAACTTGACAATCTGTTGTGGTTTCATGATGTGTGTATAATTCAGTTTATAGCGACAGGAATAACTTCATAACTACAAATTAGTTATGTATTAATTTCTCATGTATATCTCTCTACAATTTTGATAAGTGTACATAACTTACAACTGTAATATAAAAGAGTATTCTTCTCTCGTTGATTGAATGAGAGAACTTAATTCTACTCTGTTTCTTTATGGTATCAGAGTTTTGATGAAGAACTTTGATTGATCGTGTCCTCATTTACTCCTCCTTAAAACTCATTCCGATTCAAGTTCTTTGGATGATACTGTTTCTGTGACTAACTTAAACTTACCTGCCACAATATCTCATTTGATTTTTGTAAAACTTGACCGAATGAATTTCTTGTTATGGCGACCTCAATTTTTGCCCATATTGAAGGGATTCTGCGTGATGGGGTATGTTGATGGTTCCATACCGTGTCCATCCAAATTTATCTTCAAGGAGGGAGAACAGACCCTGAATGCTGATTTTGTTTTATGGGAACAACAAGACCGGTTGTTGCTTAGTTGGGTTCTCTCATCACTTACTGAAGGCGTGTTGGCCCAAATTATTGGTTGTAAAACATCTAAAGCAACCTGGGATACTCTTACTCAACTATTTGCATCAAGACCTCAAGCCTGATCAATGCAACTCAGGTTTGAGCTTTCTCATCTCAAGAAGGGAAGCCAAAGGTATGGCTGATTATATTCAAAAAGCTAGGCTCATATGTGACAACTTAGCTGTTATTTGTGAAACTATCTTAGACTTAGAACTGATCCAATATGTACTTAGTGGGTTGGGTCCAGATTTGAGTCCTTAGTAACTACTATAATGGTGGGTTCTAATGATTTCACATTTGATGGTGTCCAAGCACATCTCATGAACCATGAGATTCGCATGGAACACACTAGGTTATTGTTTGATAATTTTCCTATCACTGCAAATGTGGCCTCTCATAATGAAAATCATAAAGAAAAATATGTTTATACTAATCGACAGAAAAACAACTTCAAAAATACTAATTTTACTTCAGGCAAGAAGTCAAATCCTTTTTCAGGGAGTTAAATATGTGGCAAATTTAATCACACTGCACAGTTGGTATCCAGACTCTAGAGCCAGTCACCATATGATGTCTGACTTGGAGAATTTGCAATTACATTCAGATTACCTACTCTTCTATTACATATGAAGACGCCATGGGAACTTCTTTTTCATACAACAACATAACTCCAATAAGTTGCAACATTGGTCTACCTCATGTATTTTTATTTTTATTTTTTTGGGATATCATGACAACTATAGAGGATACAAATGTTTGCATCATCCAACTGGTTGCATTTATCTTTCCCAGCATGTGTTGTTCAATGAAGATTATTTTCCTTTTCAAAATAATTCAACATCAATTCAGTCTTCACCTACATAGTCATCCTCATAAATTATTGGGCCACTACCGATTCTTTCTTCTATTCGCAATGGGCCGGTTTGGCTTGTGGATAATTGTTCCATTTCTACTATACCTCATGCCTCTTCCAATGGTGTGTCAGTTCTTGCTACTGTTCCTCCATCCACTAATGAGCTATCTCAACATTCTCCACTACCTGTCAGTGTTGTTCCTATCACATGCTCTCTTCTTGTTGGGCCTAGTACTTCTTCTGGCTCACCAGCAACAACTAACGTTCATCCTACGATAACTAGAGCCAAGAGTGGGATTTTTAAACAAAAAATGTTTTTGGCTATTGCTCACCCTCTTGATCCTATAGAGCGCAAATGTTATTCTCAAGCTAGCAAGGATCTCAATTGGAATGCTGCCATGACTGATGAAAGAACCACACATGGGATTTAGTCCCTTCATCTGTAGATATGAATTTAATTGGATGTAAATGGGTTTTCCGTCTTAAAAGAAACCTTGATGACACTATTGCTAAATACAAGGCGAGACTTGTCACCAAAGGATTTCATTAACGACCGGGCCTTGACTATGCTAAAACTTTTAGTCCAGTTGTAAAGCCATCTACAATTCGGCTTGTTCTTGCTATTGTGATCTCTCAAAACTGGGTTGTCAATCAACTGCTTTCCTCCATGGAGAGCTTACTGAAGAGGTATTCATGAAGCATCCGCCTGGGTTCTCTCATCATGTGTGTTGTCTTAAAAAGTCCACTTATGGGCATAAACAGGCCCAAATGGGCTTGGTATGAGAAGTTGTGTTCCTTCTTAGTTGCATCTAATTTTCACAAAGCTTCCTCTAACTCTTCACTCTTCACTCTTCATTCACCAGACTGCAAATAGTTCTCTCTCTATGTACTCATTTATGTGGATGACATAGTTGTCACGGGCTCTCAATTCAGTATGTGATCTTATTACACAAATGGGCCGTCAGTTTGCTGTAAAGGATTAGGAGCCTCTTCACTATTTTCTAGGCGTGGAAGCCCATCTTTCATCTGCTAAATATATTTGTGATCTCCTCACTAAGGCCCACATAAATGGTGCATGGCCCATCTCTACTCCCATCAGTTCTACATGTCATCTCCCCAAAGACTTGGGCTCTTCTCTAGATGGTGGTAGTCATTATTGGTGAATTGCATCTACTTATGCTCACTTGTCCTGACATAGCCTATTCAGTGAACAAGGTATGTCAATTTTTGCATGCCCCCACGAGTGAGCGTTGGGCTGTTGTCAAGCGTATTCTCCATTACTTGAAGAGCACAATTGATAATGCGTTATAGGTTCATCCCTCTACTTCCTTTCAATTGCATGCTTATTCTAATGCTGATTCGGTAGGATGACGATTCCAAGGCAGGTACTATGTTTTTCTTGGTGTTCCAAGAAACGAGCTATTGTATCTCGCTCTAGTATTGAGAGTGACATAGCATTGCTATGTTTGCTTTAGAAGTGATATAGCTCCGCTCTTTCTTAATTGAGTTAGGTGTCTCTCTTTCTACATCACCCATTTTAATGGTGTGATAATCTCATAGCTACATATGTCACTGCTAATTTGTTTTTTTATGCACGAATTAAACACATGGGTTCTATGGATTTTTCATTTCGTGCGTGAACAGGTTGCAAAGAAGAAATTGCTTGTCCAATTTATTTCGTCACATGAGCAACTTGCTGATGGGTTAACAAAACCTTTGCCTCGCCTCCGGTTTGACGCTATGTGGACCAAGCTGAACGTTCAAGGTTTACCGTTCACTTGAGGGGGGCTGACAAAGCTATGCAAGAAATATCTGCTGCGGTTACATGACGTGTGTATAATTTAGTTTACAGCATAACTATAAATTAATTATGTATTAACTTCATGTATATCTCTACACAATTTTGACAACTGTACATAACTTACAATTGTAATATAAAAGAATACTCTTCTCTCATTGATTGAATGAGAGAACATAATTCTACTTGTTTTTATTTGAGGTACACGCTTCCCGTGAACCGGAAGGTTCACCGGATTTGGATGAAATCCGATAATCCAACAACTCCCACGGATTCGAATTCGGACTAAGAAGCCATCAATGATCAATCCTATCTGATTTCGGATACCATGCATCCATAATCGAATTGAATTTGGATGGAGACACACCCGGTTCGAGTCAGATCTGATTACAGGGTAGCAGATCCGACCCGTCCTCACAACTTATGACTGACACCTGTTCAGTCGCACGTGGTGGGGCGTGCCCGCGTGCGGAGTTAACAGGATGCACGTTAACCCCGTCCGTTAGCCCCGAAACGATCTCAAAACGGCAAACTGCGAGCTTCTCCCATATTCCCGCCCCCCCTCTGACCCCGTTCTAGCCCGAGCTCAGATCTCCGCCCCCATCTCCGGCACCGGCGATCGCTTCAGTCACCAGGTAAGCTCTAACCCTCGTCTTTTTGTGTGGGACTTAGTTTTTTTTTATTAAATCCTCCTTTGAAGCGTCCGTGATGGTGGTGAAGTTTCCGCTCCCGTCTTTGGCCACCGTAAGCACGTCATTTGGATTATAGTCACCGTCGAATCTCTGTAATATCCGACGATCTTTCCTGGACACCCACGCCGGAAAACCCATGAGACGACGGTTAGAACCTTCCGTCACTTTTCTGAGCTCCTGCTTCGGCAACATTGAAAGTGAATTACTAATGTGTCTATAGACACTGGCTATGGACTGGACTATAACTGACTTGAGAGGACCCGTCGCAGAATCAAGACCTTCCAAACAAGTGTTTTTGTTGGTGAGAGACGCACTGAGGAATGCTTTAGCGTTGGATAGTTTCCGGGTGTCACCAGAACGAATCCGGGACAAAGATTTCTGTAGAGAATTCATTGTAATTTGGTGCAATTCCTTGCAATCTTGGATGGCTCCTTTTTTCTTTTCGACGACCCCCAAGCTTCCAATAATCAGGAAGAGATCCAAGGAGGGTTTAATGAAACGAGGGTTATAGCTTACCTGGTGACCGGAGCAATCGCCGGTGCCGGAGATGGGGGCGGGTTTTGGGGCTAATGGGCGGGGCTAACATCCTTCCCGTTAGTCCCGCACGCGGGCACGCCCCACCGCGTGCGACTGGACAGGTGTCAGTCGCACGTTGTGTGGGGCGATTGTGGGGCGAGGCGTGGTGGGGCGGAGATGCGAACTCTCTTCTTCCTCCTCAGTCTTCATTTTCTCGTATATTGAAACGACCAAGCACCAGTGTTCCTCTCTCTCTCTCTCTGCCCGTGTGGTTGATAAAGCTTTTTATCAGACGGGGTTTCTCTTCTTCCTGATTTTTTTTATTGAAATCTTCCATACGAATCAGGTATACTCTTCTAGACTCCATTTACAGGGTCGACTTTTCTAGGGCCTTTAACCTAACCTAATATAATTTATGTGTTCATTTGCTTTGTTTTGACTGGCAGGTTATTGGTTTACCGTTTACCCTCTCAAAGACTTCTCTTCCATCTCTAAATCGTGTGGTCAAGACACTCAGGTATTACTTTCTTTATTCATTTTTGAACTTTTCCTTGGTTTGGTTGCAATATTATCTAGCCCGAGGCTGCAAAACTAAACTTAATTTCCTAATTTTAGATGCTAATGTTTCGGTTCTTGATACCTAGAAGAAAGAAAAGGCCAAACCAAGTGTCTGAGAATTGAGTTTCCACACGGAAATTGATGCTGTTTCTTGAGACAGTAGTTTATAATTAATGCTGTCTAGGTAAATGTATGGTATCCTCTTATACACAGTTTTGACACAGTTTTAACACGTAACAGTAGAGGTGGCTGCCAAAAATGGGTCAGAATACTTTCATAGTTCCCTCAACGTTTGGTTCTCTCTTTTTTTCTATCAAACCAAATACAGAATCTCTTCATTCTCTAATTTAATTTGAACTGGCATGGTTTTTATCAATAAGGCAATTCTGATGTGGCATGGACACCCAATGAGTCTTTTCACCTTGCTGGTATCAATCAAAGGAACTTGTATTTTCTATTCTTTGTGATTATTTGCCTACTTCTTTTATTGTTATGGCTGCAATTAATCTTCTGTCAATTAGCAATTCGTGATAACCTTGCTGATACTCTTCAATCAATTGATGGGCTATACAAAATAGAAAGGATTTGACACCATGACTGCAAAGAAATTATTCCCAATTCCATTTTACTAAAATGCAAATGTGGCATTTGCTTTGGCAAGTTTGAAAGGGGTGAATGTTCCTGAAGTCTATTACCTTAAAAAGACTTACAACACTTGCTGTCTTGGTAGCTGGATTTTTCTTAGGAAAAAGGGAGGCCTTCAAAACATGTATTAGATTGATCATCGATCATTATCAACCTAGAACCACTTCGTAGATTGATGATTTCCATATGTTCACTTTCTTATGCCACATTGGCATATAAGAAAGAAAAGAGTATTCTTCTCTGTCATACTTCTTTGTAGTAGGAAAAAATGCATCTTAACATCAACAAACATTTAAGGAGCTAAAGTTTAAATTTTGTCGAGTACATTTCCTAAGTGAAATATGCCTCAATTCTTTAAAAGTGTAAGTTTTCTTGAGTATATAATTTTCAGCTGCCCTCCAATTCAACCATGCAAAATACTTCTTAAGTGAACCATTGTCTACATCAACAAACATTTAAGGAGCTAAAGTGTAAATTCTCTTGGGTATGCTTCTTAAGTGAAATATGTTTTTAGTGCTTAAAGAAAAGTGTAAATTTTCTTGAGTATATAATTTTCAGTAGCCCTTCAATTCAACCATGCAATAGATGGCAAAAGATTCTTGATTGGATTGAGGTTCCCATTTGCTTTAGGTTCCTTGCTGTCATCTGCATCATGCAAAGCCCTCTTTGGTTTCTGCCTTTTACTTATAATCAGTGTTTTTTTTGTTATAATTGAAGTCTGTTCTGCTTCTCCTTTTTGTTATGAATATTTCTATAATTTCTGTTCAATTGTTGTACTTGAGGCCCTTTTTTGGGTAAGAATTGTTGGGAAGATACAATACAACAACTAAAAATAACACAAACCCAAGATAAGATTCCTTTCCCCTAAAAGTCGTATGGGAAAATGAGTTCAACCAAAACCACATTAATAAACAAATGATTCTGGTTGAATCATTTGAATATTTTTTTCTTCTCAAAAAACAAAAAAAAAAAAAGATTCAGCAAGGTAACAAGAAAATAGAATAACAATCACCATAATGCAAGACACCATATTTTTACATGGAAAATCTCAAATGGGGGAAAAACCACAAAACCTATGGTCTGAAATATAACTTCCACTATGTGAGGATAATGGTGTTACAAGAAGTTCTTCTCCAGGAGACCTAGAGGCTCAAAAACATCAAGAGACAATTCTTGGATACACATACAAACATCACCAAAGGTGGATTACAGCAATATCAACATGTGTTCTGTAAAATAAGAGTAAACAGAGGAAGAAGAAGAATTTATATTATTATTCATCAATCTCGTATGTATATATACAAGTTACAAATTCTATGTTAGGAAAGAATATATTAGGAAAGAAGACTAATCAAATTCCTACAAATCAGTCATACAATCAAGGTAAATCATATCTCCCTAGTATTTACTTCCTATTTTAATTATACAGT